GGCGCGAGCGAGCGAGCACGTACACACACATCACTGCGGGTCCACCTGACACCTGTCCACCCTCCGACATGACCGCTGTCACCCTGACCCACTTACCCGAACACACGGGCGCAGTCACGTACACGGTCCCCGTGACCACCGCCGGACATGTGCCAAGCGGGACCCGCTGTTCCCGAAACCCGGCCACGGACACCTGCTCACGGGGACTGCAGTGAGGGCAATGCGGGGTCCAGAACCTGGTCTGGACCTGAACCCGGTGCTCCCGCCCCCCTCACTGAGAGAACCTGTACCGCGGACACAAACACCGGAACACAGCCGCAGGTGCTCAAAGCTTCGACCTGTGGTCCGACACTAACGATACCAACAGTTCACTCATCGACCGGTAACCTGCTTGTCTCAGCCTTCACCCCGCGCTGCTGCCAAACTCCATGTAAAATTTGACAACTTTTAAAACTCGACCCCTGAAGCAGCCGCAGAGACCCTCACACGCACGCGGCGCTGTTAAAAGTCAAAATAAATGCGCCGCACGCGCACAGCGTCGCTCTTATCAGCTCTAATGTAAGCGCGAGGTGCAGAGTAGGGGACGTATTTACCTGGGTTGTTGTTGTTGTTGTTGTTGTTGTTGTTGTTCGTGTCCATGGCAGCGGTGGTCACTGTGACATCCGAGAAAAAGTCACGCACGCGACCCTCGTTTAAAAGTCCCAGAAAGCTACCGCTGCGCACGCATCCCAGGCTCGGAGACGTTGGAGAAGAAACCACCACAGAAGAAGAAGCGGGGTCTTATTCTGTGAATTCAAACTACTACTCCTGCTGCACGCGGAACCAAGCGATCCGTCCTGCTGCACGCGCGCCTCTGTCTGCCTGCCTGAGTGTTTTGAAGCAAGGCGCGCGCGCAGCAGGACGCTGACGACGATGATGATGAATGTGCGGGGGCCGCCGTGCCCGCACGCGGCAGAAAACGGGACCATGTGACCGCGGGGAGAGCCTCGTGCCCCAGTGACACACTTTCCCGCCCCTTCTCTGCGCTGCAGCCGCTCGTTTAAACCTCCGAGCACGTGGAGCCGGCTGCTCCTCGCACAGGGGCATTCTGGGATTCGTAGTTTTTAAAACATAATTTTACTGCTTTGACCAATCATTTAACGTTATTTATTACTACTTATATTTATGATTACTTATTCTACTGAGCCAAAAATGGACTCCACATCCTCCGGACTAATGATATCAGAGCTCAGGTCAAGCC